CTATTTAGCACACATCTAAATATCTAATGTAGTGCGGCTTAATTGTGAAAATATTTTTCGGGCCACTGTATATTAATTTAAGATGTGCAAATTAAATATAATGCACACCATATCTTCCAGACAATGCCCTATGAGGAAGGAAAAAAATCATTATTATTTCAGTATCAATTTGAGAAACAAAAGAGATCAACAATCTATTTATGTTTGAATGAAAGTGTTTTACAGTCTAAATGGCAAAATAATTACCAAATTCAGAGGGACGTATCAAGAGTGCCAGGATGAAAGGCAAACAAAAAGATTAGGGGGGAAGGGGATGCTCCGGTCCCAAGAGTGGGCCGATCAACAGAACTGGGTTCCAGAATAATGGTCTAGTGGAAGTCTGCCCAGCAGCGGCTCGCCTCCACACAGTCAATTCTGCCCAGCCAGAGGCATGTCTCAGCAGCTGCTGCCCAAGTCCACATCAGCAGCCAAGGAGCTGCTCTCTGCCTTATCTCCCAAGCTAATTTGAGCCCGCTGGACCGCTGTTAATCAGCAGCAGCAGTGGAGAGCTGGAAGAGCAAGAGCTCCGGTGCTCAACCTCTAGAACCACTGCAAAGCTGCTCAGAAGCAGGAGGATCCAGCTCACAACCGACACACACACACATGTTGGTATTGGTGTATTTTACGGGGACTCTCCATAGGTGTAATGGTTTTTATACTGTACAAACTGTATTTTCTATCGCCCTACACTTAATCCTACCCCTCACAGGAAACTTTGTGCATTTTTAGATTTTCAAAAAAACACCATTTAGTCTGTTTTTAAAGCCTTTTGAATTACGGGGACACAGGTAGTGTCCTCATAAACCACCTTCATATTGTAATACCTGTGTCATACCCATGTCATTATACAAATTTGTGTCCTCATAACACACACACACACCCTGTACACCACAGCTCCATGACTGGCATGTCACTGTATGTTCCAGCCCCTGGATCCCTGTTTACTTCATACTTTACCACATAAACCAAACATATACTATAATATTAAACAATACAATATCTGCTTTATACTCCCGTTCTCTGTCAAGCTTATTGTTCATACTCATAAATTTCCTCCAAAAGGATCTGTTTTTGTTTTACAAAAGGTATTAGCATTATAAATGCATTTATAGCATATAAATGTTCTAGGGATTGATATTAGTGCATTCCCTTGTGAAAAAGAATGTTAACGTTAACATACTTTAAAAAAGAGTACTTATTATGGAAATAATGTACTTTAAAAGAATATATGTAGGTGCAAACTGAATGTAATGTTTTTGAACACTTAACTGCATGTTACTTGCAATTAAATGACAATGTATTATAGTTTTAATTGATATTAAATGTACAGTAATTAGTTGACCTTAGGAGGGATTTTTTTGACCCACTAAACTAGGACTGAAGTACATTATTAAATGTAATTTCCTAATTACTTGTATTTATATATTTGAAATATGCCGAATGTAGTGACAGGTATTTATGGTAAACGTCTCGGTTATGTATGTAACCCTTGTTCCCTAAAGGGGTGAACGGAGACGTTATGTTGACACTGATGTTTGGGTTTCCCTTGGGAGCCCCACTCACCACTGAGTAGTAAAAAACAGGCCAATGAGACATTGGTGAGTGGAATTTGCATGCCCAGCCACTCCTCCATGCCCACGGGTATATAAGAAGGCAGCTTGCATTCACTCATTCAGGTTTGTGCTGAGGAGCCGAGACTGCATCCCGGCATCACAATGAGGAGGGCCGTTGCCGCTGTTCCTATTTCCAACAGGAAAGAGAGCTTCCGCTCTTTGGGAATAATTGTTGGTATAGCCGCTGCCAGATGTATTACATTGGGGGAGCGTACCTAGCCCAAGCGGAGAGGGACACTACGGAGGCCACATCCTGCCCGAAGGGAGGTAGCATGTGTAGAGTACATATGGACTGACCGAGAGGGCACAGTTACATTTGGGGAAGAGACTAACGCAAAAGCTGGAAGCAAGGGGAAGACATGGGTTTACCAAGAGTAAAACCATACCGTGGAAGGAGCACAAGGTATCACTTCAAGGGAATCACTACATGTGGAGCACTGAGCTCAGTACAGCGGCTGACCAACAGGCATGTAACACAGGTACTGAGCCTGATGTCAGGCTCCTCCTCCAAGCCCAACAGCCAGAGGTGCTGAAGGAAGCTCAATTCAGGGTTCATAGAGTGAGGAACACGTCTGGCGAGATAGATGGTGCTCGCACCCCAGCACACTGGAAGAGACTGGTTAAATGCGGAGATTGTAGAAGCTTGCGAAGGTGTTAGGTGTCACCCAGCCCACAGCTCTGCAGATGTCTGCTATAGAGGCACCATGCACCAATGCCCAAGAGGATGCTACGCTTCAAGTGGAGTGAGCTCAAACTCCTAGGGGGCACGGCTTGCCTTGTGTTTGGTAAGCCAAGGCGATGGTATCCACTAGCCAGTGGGCCAACATCTGCTTGTAGACAGCAATCCCCTTCTGCTGGCCTCCAAAGCAAACAAAGAGCTGTTCAGAGCTTCTGAAACTCTGTGTATGCAACGCTTGCTAGTTCACCACCTGGTCCCAGAAAGGAGTGGTGGGAACTTTGGGCACGTATCCAGGCCAGGGTCTCAGGACAACAGGACAGTCAGCTGGCCCGAAATCAAGGCACGTTTCACTGACCGAAAATACCTGCAGGTCCCCCACCCTCATGATCGAAGTGAGTGCAGTCAGAAGCGCTGTCTTCAGAGACAGGAACTTGAGCTCAACTGACTCTAGTAGCTCAAAGGGAGCCCTCTGAATTCCTGTCAGGACCACAGAGAGATCCTAAGAGGGGACAAGGCTTGGCCTAGGAGGATTTAGCCTCCTGGCACCTCTTAGGAACCTGATGACCAGGTCGTGCTTCCGTCGTGCTTCCTCACGGACCTGCTGTCCACAGCATCATGATGTGCTGTGATAGCAGCAACACACACTTTCACGGTGAAGGGGTACAGCCTCCGCTCCAACCTTTCTTGCAGAAAGGAAAGCACCACACTGATCGGGCATCTCCGGGTGTCTTCTCTGCGAGAAGCGCACCACTCAGCGAACAGACTCCACTTCAGGACATAAGCTTGCCTAGTAGAGGGGGCTCTGGCCTGAGTGATAGTGGCTATCACTGCCTGTGAAATTGTGCTGTCCTCCTGAGAAAAAAAGGACTTCTTCAGGGGAACTCGCCAGGAAGGAGCTGTCGCTAGGAGCATCAGGTCCAAAAACCAGTTCCAGGTGGGCAAGTAAGGTGCAACCATCAAGACTCCTCATCATGCTCCTCATGCTCCCTGATGTTGCACAGGGTCTGTGAAAGGAAGCTCACTGGGGGAAATGCATACTTGCATAGAGCCGGGGGCCAACTGTGTGCCAGCGTGTCCATGCCGAGGGTCCCCTCGGTCAGGGAGTAAAAGAGCGGGCAGTGGGAGGACTCGTGGGAGGCAAACAGGCCTACCTGAGCATCCCTGAATCGGCTTCATATCAGCTGGACCACATGGGGATGGAGTCTCCATTCTCCAGGGAATGTGAACTGCCATGCGAGCATGTCGCGTGATTTGATCAGCGTCTGACTTCAAAGGAGGAGATGGCGGTAGAGTTGCGACATGCGACGGGAGCGTAGACCTACTTGATGGCTGATGTACGCAATGGTCGCAGTGTTGTCCATGCAGATGAGTGCTTGCCCTGAAGCAATGGTCGAAACCAGCACAGGGCCAGCAGATGTGCCACTGCAGTTGAGTAGCCTGAGGCTGCATGCCCATTGCACACAGTGCCCCAGACCGTTCTGGAGGCATCTGTTGTAACTACAACATGCCTGGACACTTGTTCTAAGGGCACTCCCACCCAGTAGGAAAGCAAGGTCCGACCAAGGGCTGAAATTCTGGTGACAACTCAGCGTGATATAAACATGGTGTGCCACGGCACCATACCAATCTCGGGACATGTAGCCAGTGTTAAAGCGCTCTCATATGCATCCGCGGCAAGCGGAAGAGCAAGCAGCCACTTTGTGGAACATCTGATTACTGTAAAAATAATTCGCATGTGCGACCTGTAGTATACTTTGGGCTTTAGGTGACCTTTTCATTAATATTATATTATATAACAGTTTTTAAAAAATATCATTTTAAGGTTTGAAATACACTACAAGGGTTCACCATCATGAACTAACAACGAAGAGCCTTTTTTACAGAATTAATCTTAGTTTATCTAAATGTAATGTTTATTTATACATTATATTGTTGGTCATTGTTAGTTCACAATAGTGCATCAACCAATGCTATTTATTTGTAATACTGTAATTAATAAAAAAAACATACCCTATGTTGCCTGTAATTTCCTCCTGAATCTGCCGAGACTGAAGTATTCCTTCTCGTTTCTGTTGGGATAGAGAAACATTTTACTAAATAACGTGAAAAAAGCAAAGAAAAAGTTTATTATCTTTTATAATCTTATTTTATAATCTAATATCATAAAATTACCATGATAAAGTTTCTGGATTTGTTACTACTGAACACAAGCAGAACTATTAATTATGAACAGAAAAGAAAAGCACCTGAACCACTACAACTTGAATGGACACATGGTCTGGCAGTCTGATAGGGGCCCGGAAATACTGAGAAAGAGCCACCAGCAGGTGAAGAATGGCCACAATGTTCTTAGCATGAACAGCTGAGAAATACACAAAAGAATAAATAACAGAGGGAAAAAAATCAAATGCTTTCTGAATTAAATATATTCTACATTCATCACAATGAAAAAAAAAGGTCAACAATGAAAAATGCAAAAATGTATGGTATATCCATCACTGATTTTCAGATGGTGGATTGCAACCCAAAAATTACACAATTATTGGCAGCAAGGTAAAATATTGCTAAATGTAATTAATAACACAAACATAAATAATATATTGGGAATATATTATTGGAAGACCTAGACCTAGACCCAATACTTGCTCTTTTTGGGGTTAAAGGTGATAACATTACAATACCAAAGAGTAAATGATTCCATTTGTGATGCTTCTTGCACAAAGATTGATTCTTCTGAATTGGAAACATGACCCCCTGTTGTTAAAGGAATAATTCACCCAAAAATGAACATTTGTGAAAATGTACTCACCCTCAGGCCATCTAAGATGTAGATGAGTTTGTTTCTTCATCAGAACAGATTTGGAGAAATGTAGCAATACATCAGTTGCTTATCAATGGATCCTCTGCAGTGAATGGGTGCCGTCAGAATGAGAGTCCAAACAGCTGATAAAAACATCACAATAATCCACAAGTAATTCACACGACTCCAGTCCATCAATTAATGTCTTGTGAAATGAAAAGCTGCATGATTGTGAAATTATTTGTTGAGAACTGTTTAGGACTGTTTTCGCTTGTAAATGGTGCTTGCTCGGTGCATATTTCTCTCCTAAATTAAGACAAGGCTACATTTTCACTGGAGAAAGCTTTTTGCTTCATAAGACTTTTGTGATGTTGTATTGTTGTGATGCTTTTATCAGCTGTTGGACTCTCATTTTGTCTGCAGAGGATCCATTGTGAGCAAGTGATGTAATCATAAATTTCTCCAAATTTGTTAAGAAGACACAAACTCATCTACATCTTGGATGGCCTGAAGATAAGTACATTTTCAGCTAATTTTCATTTTTGAGAGAATTATTCCTTTAATTAATTTTCAAAATTATAAGTAACAAATTTGGCATATTCCTATTTATTACTCCATATTTAGCATCTTCTATGCAATTCATGAAAAATATTAAATATTGTTTTTAAAATCATTTTTGTTTTTACTTTGTACAGTAAACTGTATTGGGTCTTCATTTCTAATGAAAAATCAGAGCCGTAGATCAACCCACTGACCACAATTGGCATTAATAAAAATGAACTTTTGCAAAAGGGAGAGACGGCTGGCAATGTACAGTCTATAATACAAAATACAGTCTATAAAATATATCATGCAAATTAAAAAAAAAGGCCAAAGCTACATACAGTCAACATTCCATTTAGTGTTCCTGGAGGAAATTTTGAGAGTGTCATTGATCTTTTCCAGAACTGTCTGCAGCTTCTGTTTCTGAGCGACCTTACACTGAGTCACCTCAGCCACATTCAGCTTCTCTCCCTCCAGGTTCTCTGGGAATAAATACACAATTTATAGGTTACACAATAGAGTACTGGATCTTACTGGAACAACAATATAGGCTCTTTTCCAGAACAGATTCCTCACCAAAGAGTTTTTGTAGCACCTGCCCATCATAGAGGTCTTCAGCTAGATCCTTAACAATGATTCGCTCTCCCACCAACACGTCACTGATCCAGTCAATGAGCACCTGTCATTAAAGACCGGAGAAGTGGAGATGCTTGGATCTTTGAAATGTTAATTAAAAATGCATGTTAAAAAAACTATTGTACTGCAAAACTTACAAGTTACAAGTTAATCATCATTGCTTGCTTTTGTGGCTTATTGTTCTATTAGATAGTAAATGCCTCAACATTTAAATATCCTTTCCCGTTATTCTAAGTATTATGTACACAATTATAAATATATATACTGCACTGAAAAACTTTGGTGGAGGATTTACTTTGAAACAATTTAACTCAGAAATTGTTAGTAAATTTCCAAAAAAAAAAAATTTTTTAAGTGGCAAGTAACACATTAAATTAAATGTGACATTTTGAAGTAGAAAGACTAAAATAGTATTTTCTTTTAAAATGTGCTCCAATAATCTTAGTTTTATTTACAACTTAAAACCTTTTTTTTTTTCAATGTGTGCTTTCAGTTATTTTTACATATATTTCATATTTTGGTTGCCATTGTGATCTTTTTAGTTAGTATTACTTTGTATAATAGCATTAGATCAGGATTTGAACATTGTGTCCCTTTGCATGATAGATGACAACAGTAACGCTCGACTAACTTGTATTACTTCAGAGTTGCGAGTTGAAGCTCTCAATGAACGTCTTAGCTTAAAAATACCAAAGCTTATGAAAAAGATAAAAGAAGGAGTTGTATTACAATCATTGGAGCTGATTTACCTTCATTATCTCTTGGAGTTTGGGATCGTTCCTTGAGTTGGGATCAACCATGGCACGGACTTCACTCTCATCTTTTGAGAGATCAATGGGAAATACAGCAGCTTTTAGTACGACAGAGGCTGTGTAGTTCATGTCTGAATCATCAGTTATGTTGAGAATTTTTTACCAAGCATGGTGTCTTCAGGGTCCAGCTCAAACGGTGTGGGACTGAGGGGCAGGTTAATCGCATTCATTCCCTCCTCCTGGAGCTCAGACACTATGAAAAGAAATGCATCACTACGTCAATAAAATATGATACAAATGTAACTAAAAAGGGTTTCTCTTGAACCACTTTATGCTTCATGTCATGAAAAATTTAATTCTCCTTCATAAGATTTCAAAGCACTATAAAAATATGCTGTAATTTTCAGAATTCTGAACTTAAGACCCTTTAATGAACCTAAGTTTAACCTCTGCAATGTGGAATTTCTGTCTCCCAGAGAGAGTCTAAAATCATCACTGATGCAAGAAACCATCATATAAAATATTATCAGTCAATCTGAGGAATATAATATTAAAAATATACACTTCATGCTATGACCTCATAAAATGTAGCGTCATCTAGCAGCAATTCTCAAACAACTGGCAGAGCTGAACACATAGCTCTTTTGAAGCTGTGCCTCTCATCGCTGGAGGTCAGTTATGCAGTATTGGCCTCACTGGGGAGGGGTCTACTCAAAGTGTCTCATTTAATGCTATGCATTCATCCCTGAACACGTTCAGCTTAACAAAAGAACTACAACTCAGACCTTCAATCAATAAATTGTGCAATATTCGTCAAAATAGAGAATGTTTAGAAACCGCTATAAAAACACATTTCAACATTGTTGAAGGTGAGGAGTGTATTTTTAGGCTTGAAAAAATTGTATTTTTAATTTCATATTGTATATTAAAATAAGTAATACTTAAAATACTAAATACTTATATATACATAAATACTAAATACGTATGTCATGCATAATATGCAGAGACAACTATAAGCCATTTGCAGTTTTACAATTCCCATGTCAAAAAGAAAGACACTTAAGCATACTTTTAAAAAGAGTGCTTATAAATAAATGAAATAATAAAATTACACTTAAGTGCAAACTGAATGTAATTTTTTCAGACATGTAATTGCATGTTATTACCATTAAGATTAATTTATATTAAATGCATTGTTAAAATTTAAAGTGGTTTTATTTAAGTCACACTTAATTAGGACTTAAGTACATCTTTGTATGTAATTTTATAACTATTTTTATTGTCTTTAAAAAATATGGTGTGTTGCCAAATATACTAACAAGCATTTATGGTAAACTAAAATATACTTTACTGTAATTTCTATTGAAACGTGTGCATGTATTTAAATATATTGGAAATTGCACATTTCTAATAATTAAGTTTCAGTTTAGTACATATAAAATATATTTATTTTAAACTGTAAATGTAATGTCGAATAACTACCCGCATTTAAAATTACTTTACATGAGCTTTAGTATGTTAGTCAACACATCAAAATAAGTGTACTTTTTAAAAGCATGACAAAACATTATTAAAACATAATGCTACTTTAAAGTAAAACTGTTAATTTGACATTAAAAGTGATTAGAAACTTTTTAAAAAGTTTACTGTATTCTGAGAAACATATGAACATGTACTATCTTTAAATACACTTAAGTGACCTTTTATTTAATCAATATTATATTTTCTGCAAGTACTCTTTCAAAATATATTTTTGAGATTTAAAGAACACTATAAATGCACATTCAAAACGATTAAGTGCACTTCTTTTTCAGAAGGGATTGCTATTCACTGTTGACATGAATATGTTGTCAGTGGCAAATGTATCATTAGCTGGCTTTCTACTGCTATAGTTGACATGTAACTCTCAAACCTGTTAACAGATTAGTTATAGTTAATGCTTATAGATTAAGCCTCTAAATCTTGCTATTGCATTGAATCTCTCATTTAATTGACCCTGTCTGCATGCCATCCTGTGAATCAGTACATGTGGCGTCTCAACTAGCCCTCATGCAGGAGATCTTCTAAACACCCTCTCTGTCTCAATCTGCCCAGTGGCCCCATCAACACTGGCCAATCAGTAAAGCAATGCTGCAGCACATCCCTGTGAAAGGCAGTCCAGAAGAAGAATCGGTACAGATCCCTAGAGATATCGACATCCTGTTTTTAATCAACACTGTACCCTGCTGTAGCTGCTTCTAACGTGCTTTAAACACGGTCAGTTGAGGGCAAGGGAAGCAACTTCCCAGCTTCCCCATGAACTAGGTTTAGAGCATATGCATAACAGCTGATTTACAGCTTGTAAAATAACTTCTCTTAACTTCTCTTTGGATGCCAGTTTGTACTTCCTGTTGTGGCTTGAGGTTCTTTCTCTTTTCTTTTAGTCAGTGAATGTCTAAACCCGCAAATAAACACACCAGCAAACTAAATATGTCTCTTGCCACATGTGACCAAAAAAAAACAAAGCCAAAAATGTCATCACTTCTATACTGTATCTGTATGAGTGCCAAAAAATCATCAGTGACATTCTGAATAAAGAATAAGAATGGATGTCACCCCACTCAGAAACGGATTCTAAGAATGAAATATATGTAACACAATTCAAAAAGTCAAGTTTAGATTGCAGTTTTTAAAACAGTAAGTAAATAAATAAACATTTTTACACAGTAAAACTACTTAAAATTAAAGTTGCTGTCTTAACCCTTGTGTTCCAGTCATGTTGACCCGGAGAGGATATTCTTTTTCCCGAAAATGCTAGATAATCACATTAGACTCAAATAACTGACTAACTAACTAAATAAATTACGTTAATTTTTGTTGTTGTTATTATTATTCCATCTTGTTACACTTGTGGTCAAAATTGACCAGCCTACAAAAATTGCTTATGAATCTGTCATTGTGCACCTCAGATTTTGAGTGAACATTGCCAAAATTATCCACAAATAATTATTTTTTGCACAGAAAACCTGAGGTGCATAAGCGCAAATCAATCAGTCATTTCCAACCTGTGATAATTGAAAAAAAAAAAAAACTGAATTTGGTGATACTATAACAAGAGATTTACAAGTAATTTCTTAAAATTTTAGGAAATTAGGTAAAGGATTTTCAGCACAGCACAGGGTTAGATCTTTAAATATTTGAATGTCATTACTGATAAAGAAAACGGAATGCATGGAAACTCTGAAATATCATTATATCCAGTAGAAATTCTGAATTAAGTTAAATGGTGTTGTTATAACAAAATGATGAAATGTTTCTTGCAGTACTGTAGGGATATATTCATAATTTTAATTTGAAAACAGGGAATAATATTTTCTTATTGCATATTTACCCAACCTCTCACAATGAGTATTTAACAGCCACTTCTCATCCTTATATGCTCACAGCAGAGACGTGCAGCCTTTTGTAAACACTCACATAGTTGAGTCTACTGTATATCAAAAACAGTGCAACTGTACTTACACTTTAAATTATCAGAATAAACAAAAACATGACTGACGAAAGAAAGAAAGAAAGAAAGGAGAAAGAAAGATTTTTCTGAGATTAAAAGCACATTTCAAAATTAAACTAACTTACAGTAATTACAATACAGTATGCTTAATTTTTATTTATATGTATATAATGAGATTGCATTTCTGTATCACGCACTACACTGTAAAAATAAAATGAAACATAAATATACAGTACAAGTGTTCAGAACTATAGCTAGTAATCTGACAGATACATGTCTAAACATCAATGAGTTTAAATTTGTTTGACATGCATACAATCAAATATAACATAGTATCAGAGAGACATCGGCTATCCATGGATTTAAGCTGAATTCACACCTTCTTTTGCCTTCTTGCTAAAGTTCCTCCAAGTTTTCCAAGAAAAGTCATCTTTTTTTCCTGGAGGAAGGCGACTTCGGAGTGGGAGATTTCGGTGAGGACGGTGATTTCTGCGGTGAAGAAGCCATTTGAATAGCAACACAATAAATGCGCCTCTTATCTAGACGTGCAGAGCACAAAGCTAATTTAAAGTTGTGGAGACTTCTTGAAATCCACCAAACGGAAGTGGAATTCCAAACATTCGTGTAATGACTCTCTCTTGCTTCCCTTCTGCACGAGCGTTTTCCAGTCCCACCCTGACTGACTGCTAATTTCACTTTATTGTCATTTCTTATCAGAGTATGTTTTTCTTCATAATTTCATATCTCCATTATATGTCGTAATATACTGTAAATGTTAAACTCATAGCAGTTAGTTTTCTTTTATCACAAATATGTCATAATTATGAAATGGGAACATGGGATGTGTAACGGGGCTGACGAGACGTGAGACGTGTGGATCCATCTGCAAGCTTTTATTAAGAGACGTGGTACAACAGGCAGGGTCGAACAATGGCAAACAGGTATATGGCGGGCAAAACACAAGAATAGTCCTAGGGCTAGCATAGGTCACTGATCGGCAGACAGAATCACAGGGCCGAGACGAGAGGGAAAAATCCAGGAAAACAGGCAAAGATCAGAAACCGAGAGAACAGGCAAGGCAAGGCAAAACAAGGAAACACAGACTCGGAACGGGGTACAGGCTAAACAATACTCAGCAGAGAATGGTAGTTTGAGTGAGTGTTATATAGTGAGTGAGTGATATGAAACAGCTGTGCAATCAGTGCTGTGTGCAATCAGTGAAACAGCTGTGTGCAATCAGTGCAATGAATGATGGGATATGTAGTCAGGGGTGATATGCAACAGTTTGTGTTGTGCGAGAGTCAATGTAATGAAAGGGTGACCTCTGGTGGTGATTGAACGGAAGTCCATGGACAGGATTCGTGACAGAGCCCGCCCCCAAAGAGCGGCTTCCAGATGCTCCAAACACTAGTTCCTCCAAGTTTTCCAAGAAAAGTCATCTTTTTTTCCTGGAGGAAGGCGACTTCGGAGTGGGAGATTTCGGTGAGGACGGTGATTTCTGCGGTGAAGAAGCCATTTGAATAGCAACACAATAAATGCGCCTCTTATCTAGACGTGCAGAGCGAATAGCTGATTTAAAGTTGTGGAGACTTCTTAAATTCCACCAAACGGAAGTGGAATTCCAAACATTCGTGTAATGACTCTCTCTTGCTTCCCTTCTGCACGAGCGTTTTCCAGTCCCACCCTGACTGACTGCTAATTTCACTTTATTGTCATTTCTTATCAGAGTATGTTTTTCTTCATAATTTCATATCTCCATTATATGTCGTAATATACTGTAAATGTTAAACTCATAGCAGTTAGTTTTCTTTTATCACAAATATGTCATAATTATGAAATGGGAACATGGGATGTGTAACGGGGCTGACGAGACGTGAGACGTGTGGATCCATCTGCAAGCTTTTATTAAGAGACGTGGTACAACAGGCAGGGTCGAACAATGGCAAACAGGTATATGGCGGGCAAAACACAAGAATAGTCCTAGGGCTAGCGTAGGTCACCGATCGGCAGACAGAATCACAGGGGCGAGACGAGAGGGAAAAATCCAGGAATACAGGCAAAGATCAGAAACCGCGGAAACAGGCAAGGCAAGGCAAAACAAGGAAAACACAGAGACTTGGAATAGGGTACAGGCTAAACAATACTCAGCAGAGAATGGTAGTTTGAGTTTTGAGTGAGTAGTGAGTGAGTGATATGAAACAGCTGTGCAATCAGTGCTGTGTGCAATCAGTGAAACAGGAAACAGCAATCAGTGCAATGAATGATGGGATATGTAG